CTGTCATGTGTCCAGAGGCCTGCTGGTCTTAATCCGTCCCTGGCTGACAGTGAACTTGTCCATCTGTCCATCCAGCCACACACTGACGATAATAACACATTAATAAACACTAATTATGGATTTTGGGCTCTGTTCTGTTTCATCTGATGATGACTTTGGGGTGTAAAACAGAAGGAAACAGGAAACATCGCTGCTCAGTTCAGCCTCTCATGTTTGGAATAAAGTCTTTTTATGCTAATTTTAAGCTAACAGCCGCTAAAACCACAAGTGCGTCACATCAGGACGGATTTCTCTTATTATTTTAAATAAATTAAAGTGCCCGCTATGATTGAGGGACACATCACTGCTCGCTGTCGCTACAAAACACCACATTTTCCCCGTTATTAATTCTAAAACAGCCCCGCAGACGGATGTAAACATGAGGATAACCGCGGCCAGATCCGCACCGACACGGTTATTTATAGCCTACCTGCTAAGTCCAGCTCCCGCGGCGTGGTTCCGTCTTTCTGTCCACTTTGAGCTCAATCTATCGCCTTTGTTTGGACCAATAAAGCCGTCAGCGGCGGCGGAACATCTCCGCTCCCAGTGCGTCCGTGTTTATTTACCGGTGGACAGGTGAGAAGGTAAAACTGGAGGCTGTAAATCATTCACCTGCCGCCTCCTCCTCGGCTCGCAGCTCCTCCTGTCATCACGGAGCCGCCCGCGTCAAGGCGGCGGCAGCAACGCCGGAACACACGCTGTCAGGCTTCAAAATAAAAGCCTGATGAGCTAGGCCTTTATCTCACAGTGGAGAAATTCAGTGTTGTCAGCAGCAGTACACACAGAGATGCACACATCCTAGAAAGAAGAATGTACATGTAAGAAATAGTGCAAATATAAGTATAGAAATACACATATTTAAAAAAAGAATAGTGCAAGCACAGGATATAAAAATGAGGATATAAAAGATATAGAAAGTTGTCCACTGTTGTAATTCCACCCATGGAAAAAGTGTCATTAGTGAGATTTGTAACTATATATAAACATAGATAGATAGACAGCAAGTAGCCTAATAGTAGTCTAATTTACTAGAAACAAAAGATGTGGGGGAGCCTTTTAATGTCTTGGTTTGCCAATATTTCTCTAACGTTAGCAATCTTTTTTAAATAGTAAAAAGTGGATTAGGTTATTGCCTTGAGGTGGCTCTGAATTTTTTAATTAGATGCCGTGGCAACACCAAGATTTCTTGCTTGACTCTTAAGAGAGAGCGACTCAAAATGAAAGTTGATAATCTGTCGAAGACAATTATGTTAGTCTGTGTCAGAAAATGTTGCCGCGTCCAGTGATTGATTTGCTCAATGCAATACCACATATATTCCACAATCACAAGCTGGAAGTAAGATGCATATACATGTGTGTCATCTGCAGAATTATTGTACAGCAACAAACTGAGCAGTGAGGATGTCATCATTTATCCAATATATGAGAAAATAACAGGGATAGTACGCATTCTAAACATTCTGGCAACTAATTCACAAATAACATCTAAACACAGAATACAAGGGTGGTTTTAAAAGTTATTGGTCTCACCATGAAAGAAGGGGTAACTCCAAATTTGTACAGGAGAAGGCCTTACGTCACTGTGCACAAACACTCAAATGTTTGTCGTCATATGTCGAAGCTTCTGCGCTTCACATCTAATAAAATGCACAGATAAGGTTGTAGTTAGGCACAGCAACTTCCTGGCAAAAAAAAAAAAAAAAGACAAAGAATTAGTGCACAAAATATGTAAGGATTTTGCAATAACCTTGATCATCTTGAAAATCTTTTTAAAACGTGCTTTTATTCTGAAGGACCACTCATCACAGCGCTCCGTCGTGTCTGCTGAGCTTGACGCAGCGGAGCAGCTTACCTGATCCCATGTTTCCCAGCATGCACCGCGGCGCCGGGGCTGCTGCCATAGATCTGTATAATAAAGGCTGCTGCCCTGCCCGGGAGGAGGCCACCTATCTGCCGGAGAGAGGAACTGCCTGCAGGAGCAAACACATTAATACTGCTGACATGATTTTATTTTAAAGTATGATCACATGTGCACGTTTTATTTCCCCTTTAACAAATATTGCTCTGGTTTCTGAACCTACATATACATACATATACTTTTGCATGCTGTGCAGATGTACAGAGATATTTATGCTTCACTCAGTTCTGTGGATTTCTCTTTGCTTCTGTTTATTTATTTTCTTTCATGTTTGCATTGTTTTCTGCTTCCTGGTCACAGATTATCCAGGCAGCTAAAGCGGGTGGTCTCTGTGTGGGAGACCCTGAGGTCACATTAGTCTTATTAATGTCACATCAGTTAAGCCGGAGGAGGAAGGAGGTTTTAGGGAGCAGCCACCTTTACTTACATTAAGACTTCATTAGAGCAGAGTTTAGCAGGAGGCTCAGCAGCTTAAAGGCAAACACGCTGGATTTAAAGAACAAACGTATGTGAAGTGTGTGTGTGTGTGTGTGTGTGTGTGTGTGTGTGTGTGTGTGTGTGCAGAGAGAGGGAGGAAGAACATGGAAGAGGTGCCTGAAGGTTCCTACACAGGAGCAAAGACAACAAATAAAACTGATGCAGCTTCAGTGTTTTCTAGTGACGAGTAGAAAAAACACACGCAGATGAAAACAAACCGTCCAGAGCTTCACGCTGCAGCAAACTCAGATATTATATTAAATACTGCAAGCTTTGAAAAACAAGAAAACACACAAATGGAGGCCTGAGATGCAAGTATTGTCCCAAAGCAAAAGCTATCTGGCTGCCAAACTGATTCTTGTGGTTTCGCTTCTGTTCCTGTCTCGTCACAAAAACTTTATCCTCAGCATGTTATTATATAAAACTATAACTGTGTCAGGCCTTAAGCTGCTCTGGAGCATGAAAAACTGATCACAGGAGAGAAAAGAAAACAGCACAACGAGGAAAAAAGATAAAACACAGACCGGAGCTATGACCAGAGTCAACCAGTATTCTACATACAATATACTGGAAATGAACCAATAAAGACATATTGGTACACACATTAAATATAAACATTATAAAAATGATGGGGTTGCAAATCATCACACTCAAAATAATCCTTTTAAAAGGTGAGAGTTATTCAGAAATTAATTAATTCAGATTTTAAAATGTTTCCACCAAAAGACTGAGTGAACGGAAACAAGACATCATGATCAAAAAGCTAAATTATTTTATGGCATTTTCTGCAGATAATCATCTCCAGAAACCTGAAAAATAGTTTTAATAAAAGGCTCAAATTAAATTAAATGTAAATTAATTACAACAGAATTAAGTTTAACCGTGCCTTGGTGTTTGCAATCTTGTCTTTATTTTTATTTTTTAAAGCTTTTTATGACTACTTTCAGCACCAAAACCAAAATGAGCCCAAAGTTTGACACCTCACTTTGCACTGTAGACGTGTACAAGCTAAGTTTCTTCTAATAAAACCAACCTCAGCTCTGTGCACAGGAGACTTCAACGCTGGGACACGATTATGATGCAATAAACCGCTGCCAGGTTTTCATTTTATTGTCTCGTCTTACCGTCAAGACACAAGGAATGACAATATAAGGAAAAATCTGTCCAGCAGACGACAGGCATCAGTTAAAATCTAAGTTAAATGACTTAATTAACATCACTGGTGGATGTTATTTAAACTTTAAACTGGAGCTGCTGGAGCAGAGGGAGAAAGGGATTGTGGGTAAGTGAGTTCTTAGATCAGACACTCCGTAGTGTGTATTCACACATAGTAAAGTTTGTTTTTAATTAGTTTCTAGAAAATTTTAAATTTAAAGTAGAATCAGTTTGAATTTTACAGTTTTCTTGTGCAGCTTCACATATGACTTGAAATTGCACACACTGCTGATTATTGCCTATTTATTGCTTATAGTTGGAGTTACATTCTATGTTTATTGTCTATTTTTTTGTGCTATTTTAATTATTTTTGTCTGTTTGTTTTGCACCGTGGGGCCTCAGAGGGTGGCAGTTTCAGTTCTCTGTATTTTGTATTTATGGTCAAACTGACAATAAAGCTGGCTCGACTTGATGTTGTTTGATATTTTCTATGAACAAGCTTTGATGAAACATAATAAGAAAAACATCAGTGGTGGTAGCATCTGTGCACAATAACAAAAAAAATGGAATCGTCACCGATGCCTCCACATATTTCCCATTAAACTCTGTGGTTCAGGACCTTTGACCTCGCTGCAGAAAATAGAAACTCCTTTATTTGGTCATCTGTGGTGGTAAAAATATTCCCTTTTTATGCTTACAGGTGTCACTGTGTTTATTTATATCAGAGTCAGAAAACCACGGACACAACCTCTCAATTACAAAACGCTTCCTGCTTGATTTATTTCCTCCTTTGTTCTGATAAATATGATCTTTTCTCTGATGTTCAGCCTTCGAAATCTTGTAATAAACATGTTAAGCGCAGTACTATTAACTCATTCATCCTTTCTTTCATGTTTTGCACAACACCACGTTTGTAAAACTGCTAATTACAACATCTGTTTAATGTTTAATTAGCAGATTTAACCACCAGCTCGCAGCTTTTTTGCTCCAGTTTTTTTTTTAATCTCCACACGCTGAAGTCTAATGAGACAGCTGAATATCAGGATGCATCGCACTGTTTTCATTTTGCTATCACCTCACAGCGGCGTCCCACATCAACGCTCATTAAAGTGTCTGAGCTAAAAATAACCTCGTGACCGTGCATTCTTAATTATCGTTAGAACTGCAACCCCTCCCTCCTTTTTTAATTCACACATAACACACTAAATATCAGATTCGCAGAAGACGGGAAGCTGCCTGTAGTCACCAGGAGAGACATTTATATGGGTTTTTAATTTATTTATTGGTTCTGTGTGTGTGATTTGCTGCAGAGAGTGAGATGAAACTGGTGAATCCACATGGACATGAATACACACAGGTGTGAATGGGACACATACTGTAACTGCAAGGACATACATTGTATCTGTACATGCGTTCAAAGAATTGTACACACACACACACACACACACACACACACACACAGAGTTGAAATGTTCCAGCTGTCCTGGCCGACATCCCAATAATGTAAAATTAGAAATGGATGATTTACAGAAGGACGGGGAACAATGACACTCACATGTACACAGCCGAGTGTCTGGAGTCACGTGGCTCAACGTTCAGCAGACGTTCTGAGAAGGCTTCTGTTGGATATGAATGAATGAATCTTTATTGTCCTTACTCGGCGTATAACGACATTTCATCTGACTTTCTATTAAATAAAAAAAAAACAAGTTGAAAGACACACTAGGAAAAAAATGCAGAGATGAGATGTTGCATGAAGATCATTCACTTGCGTTGCGTTGTGTTGATCATGTCACAGCTCAGTCATAGTTTATAATCTATATAAAAGCAGCAACAACAGTGGAATGAGTGCAAATCCTGAATATAAACAAATAACAGCAGCAGATTAAAGGTGCATGAAGGTTTAGAGTTATTAACACAACGGTGCAACGGAGGCTTTCGGTTCTGGTTGTTCTGTAATACGCTAACCATGCTAACAGTGGCTAATCAGCAACGGGTTGTTTTTGCAGGAATTTAGCTGGAAACCCGAAGAAGTGGACAAACTGAAACGTAGAACATCGACGAG